GATCAAAATCATCATAATGATCCTGATGGTTGCCATGGCAAACATAATTTATTATGATTAATATGCTAATTATGATCAAAAGCATCATAATGATCATCATGGTTGCCATGGCAACCATGATTTACTATGATTAATATGCTAATTATGATCAAGATCATCATAATGATCATCATAGTTGACTTGGCAACCATCATTTGTTATGATTAATATGCTAATTATGATCCTGATCATCATAATGATCATCATTGTTGCAAGGGAAACCAATATTTATTGGGATTGTTATGCTAATTACGATCCTGATCATCATCATGATCGTGATGGTTTTCATAGTAACCATCATTTATTATGATTAATATCTAATTATGATCAAGATCATCATAATGATCGTCATGGTTGCCATAACAACCATCATTTTTATTAATATGCTAATTATGATCATGATCATCATAATGATCATCATGCTTGCCATAGCAACTATAATTTATTATGATTAATATGCTTATTATGGTCATGATCTTCATAATGATCATCATGGTTGCAAGGGCAACCATTATTCATTAATAATATTCTAAATATATCATCATCTTCATAATGATCATCATAGTTGCCATGGTAACCATAATTGATTATGATTATTATGCTAATTATGATCATCATAAGGATAATCATGGTTGCCATTGTAACCATAATTTATCATGATTAATATGCTAATTATGATCAAGATCATCATAATGATCATCATGGTTGCCATAGCAACTATCATTATTATGATTAATATGCTAATTATGATCAAAATCATCATAATTATTATCATAGTTGTAATGGCAACCATCATTTATTATGATTATTATGCTAATTATGGTCAAAATCATCATAATGATCATCATGGTTGGCATGGCAACCATCATTTACTATGATTAATATGCTAATTATGATCAAGATCATCATAATGATCATCATGGTTGCCATAGCAACTATCATTATTTATGATTAATATGCTAATTATGATCAAAATCATCATAATGATCATCATGGTTGCCATAGCAACTATCATTTATTATGATTAATATGCTTATTATGGTCATTATCATCATAATGATCAACATGGTTGCCATGGTAACCACCATTTATTATGATTAATATGCTAATTATGATCAAAATCATCATAATGAGCATCATGGTTGCAATGGCAACCATCATTTATTGATAATATGCTAATTACGAATATGATCATCATAATGATCATCATGTTTGCTATGGTAATCATCATTTATTTTGATTAATACACTAATTATTATCAAAATCATCATTATGATCATCATAGTTGCAATGGGAACGATCATTTATTATGATTAATATGCTAATTATGATCAAAATCATCATAATGAGCATCATGGGTGCCATAGCAACCATCATTTATTATGATTAATATGCTAATTATGATCAAGATCCTCATAATGATCATCATAGTTGCCATGGCAACCATCATTTATTACGATTAATATGCTAATTATGTTCAAAATCATCATAATGAGCATTATGGTTGCCATAGCAACCATCATTTATTATTATTATTATGCTAATTATGATCAAAATCATAATAATGATCATCATAGTTGCCATGGCAACCATCATTTATTATGATTAATATGCTAATTATGATCATGATCATCATAATGATCATCATTGTTGCCATGGTAACCATAATTTATAATGATTAATATGCTATTTATGATCAAGATCATCATAATGATCATCATAGTTGCCATGACAACCATCATTTATTATAAATAATATGCTAATTATGATCAAGATCATCGTAATGATCATCATGGTTGCCATAGCAACCATAATTTATTATGATTAATATGCTAATTATGATCAAAATCATCATAATGAGCATCATGGTTGCCATGGTAACCATCATTTATTATGAATAATATGCTAATTATGATCCTGATCATCATAATGATCATCATGGTTGCAAGGGCTACCATTATTTATTAATAATATGCTAAATATTATCATCATCTTGATAATGATCATCATAGTTGCCATGGAATCCATAATTTATTATGATTATTATGCTAATTATGATCATGATCATCATAAGGATCATCATGGTTTCCATTGTTTTTTTAATTTATTATGATTAATATGCTATTTATGATCAAGATCATCATAATGATCATCATAGTTGCCATAGCAACCATCATTTATTATGATTAATATGCTAATTATGATGAAAATCATCATAATGATCATCATCGTGGCCATGGTAACCATCATTTATTACGATTAATAAGCTAATTATGATCAAAAGCATCATAATGATCATCATGGTTGGCATGGCAACCATAATTTATCATGATTAATATGCTAATTATGATAAAGATCATCATAATGATCATCGTGATTGGAATGGTAACCATCATTTATTATGGGTAATATGCTAATTATGATCCTGATCATCATAATGATCATCATGGCTGCAAGGGAAACCATTATTTATTATGATTGTTATGCTGATTATGATCCTGATCATCATCATGATCGTCATGGTTGTCATAGGAACCATCATTTTTATTATTAATATCTAATTATGATCAAGATCATCATAATGATCATCAGGGTTGCCATAACAACCATCATTTATTAATAATATACCATTTATAATCAAGTTCATCATAATGATCATCATGGTTGCCATAGCAACTATCATTTATTATGATTAATATGCTTATTATGGTCATGATCATCATAATAATCAACATGGTTGCCATGGTAACCACCATTTATTATGATTAATATGCTAATTATGATCAAGATCATCGTAATGATCATCATGGTTGCCATGGCAATCATAATTTATTATGATTAATAAGCTAATTATGATCAAAATCATCATGAGCATCATGGTTGCAATGGTAACCATGATTTATTATGAATAATATGCTAATTATGATCAAAATCATATTAATGATCATCATAGTTGCCATAGCAACCATCACTTATTATAATTAATATGCTAATTATGATCAAGATCATGATAATGATCATCATAGTTGCCATAGCAATCATTATTTATTATGAGCAATATGCTTATTATGATCATGATCATCATAATGATCATCTTGGTTGCCATGGTAACCATTTTTTAGTATGGTTATTATGCTAATTATGATTAAGATCATCATATTGATCATCATGGTTGCCATGGCAACAATCATTTAATAAAAATATGCTAATTACGAATATGATCATCATAATGATCATCATGTTTACTATGGTTATCATCATTTATTATGATTAATACACTAATTATTATCAAAATCATCATAATGATCGTCATAGTTGCCATGGCAACGATCATTTTTTATGATTAATATGCTAATTATGATCAAAATCATAATAATGATCATCATAGTTGCCATGGCAACCATCATTTATTATGATTAATATGCTAATTATGATCAAGATCATCATAATGATCATCATAGTTGCCATGGCAACCATCATTTATTATGATTAATATTCTAATTATGATCAAAATCATCATATTGAGCATCATGGTTGCCATGGCAAACCATCATTTATTATAATTAATATGCTAATTATGATCCTGATCATCATAACGATAATCATGGTTGCAAGGGAAACCATTATTTTTTAATAATATGCTAAATATTATCATCATCTTCATAGTGTATTATGTTAAGTTATTATAATTATTATGCTAATTATGATCATGATCATCATAATGATCATCATAGTTGCCATTGCAACCATCATTTATTATGATTAATATGCTAATTATGATCAAGATCCTCATAATGATCATCATAGTTGCCATGGCAACCATCATTTTTTTACGATTAATATGCTAATTATGTTCAAAATCATCATAATGAGCATTATGGTTGCCATGGCAACTATCATTTATTATTATTAATATGCTAATTATGATCAAATCATAATAATGATCATCATAGTTGCCATGGCAACCATCATTTATTATGATTAATATGCTAATTATGATCAAGATCATCATAATGATCATCATAGTTCAGATGGCAACCATCATTTATTATGATTAATATTGTAATTATGATCAAAATCATCATAATGAGCATCATGGTTGCCATGGCAAACCATCATTTATTGTAATTAATATGCTAATTATGATCCTGATCATCATAATGATAATCATGGTTGCAAGGGCAACCATTATTTTTTAATAATATGCTAAATATTATCATCATCTTCATAGTTGCCATGGTAACCATAAGTTATTATGATTATTCTGCTAATTATGATCATGATCATCATAATGATCATCATATTTGCTATTGCAACCATCATTTATTATGATTAATATGCTAATTATGATCAAGGGCATCATAATGATCATCATGCTTGCCATGGCAACATTCATTTATTATGATTAATATGATAATTATGATCAAGATCATCATAATGATCATCATGGTTGCCATAGTAACCATAATTTATTATGATTATTATGCTAATTATGATTATGATCATCATAATGATCATCATAGTTGCCATTGCAACCATCATTTATTATGATTAATATGCTAATTATGATCAAAATCATCATAATGATCATCATGGTTGCTATGGCAACCTTCATTTATTATGATTAATATGCTAATTATGATCAAGATCATCATAATGATCATCATAGTTGCCATGACAAACATCATCTATTATGAATAATATGATTTCTGCGTTATTTAATATAGACCAGAATAAGGCTTTAAATTTTATTTACAAACGACGTTTCGGAGTTTACTCCATCATCAGGTTAAGATAATCAGATTATGTACAATTTTGAATAAATCGCGTATAAAAACCGTTAAAGCTTGCGTCCGTTACATTTTCGTGCGCATGCGATTTTTGTAAGCATAAAATGACGTGTCCGAGAAATTCTAATAAAATTAGAAATTAATTATAGTATTATTTATACTGCATGCTGTCTAAACTACAAAATCTATAATGTTTAATTGTTCGTATTTCCCATTCAAGTCCGGTTTCAACTTTTGAATGAATAAAGCCTCGGTAATCTTGCGTTCTACCGATCCTTTCGTTTTTTTTAAAATCTTGATCGAAAGCTTAGGTTTTTGTCCACGATGTAGTTCACTATAATGCTTTGCGAAAGCCATGTTCTTGTAGGATTTCGCCGTAGGATTTGCTGCAGATCGATAATGTTCTTGGAATCTGACGGCTAATGGTCTACTTGTTTCTCCTACATATGTTGCTCCGCACAGGTCACAGTTTATTTGGTAGACAACGTCTTTCTGCGAGCATCGAATGGGAAGCAATGACCTACTGCACACTGAGCATTTCGAGGGATTTGTGCATGTGTTGTCGTAAGGTCGCGACTCTGCCAGAAGGTTCTTCAATGAGCTTTGAGATCGTTCAACTATTCGGACATTGAGGTCTGTTCGCTGGACTGCTCTTCTGATGTCGTTGGTGAATTGGCTTGAGATAAATGGTATTGTAAATGTACTTGGCGCTTCGGTTTTTGATGCTCGTTTCTTGCTTTTTGTCGCTTTCACTTTGTTGACATACTTGCTGTCATAACCGTTTCGTCTCGCTCTTCTTTCAAATTTCCGTTCAGCTTCTTGTAATAATGTATCGTTTGAACATATCGAAGTGTAGGTTTTGATCGTGTTACCAATGGCAGCTCGCTTGATGTGTTCTGGATGATGAGATTTTGCGTTCAACATCAATCCTTTGTTTGCTGATTTTGTATGCCACCCCGTCTCGATTGTTCCAGATGTATTCACTTTGATTTTTTTTGTATTGAGGAAAGGAAGGAATCCGTCTTCGCCAGGTAACTCGATTTCAAATTGAATTGATGGATCTTGCCCATTCAGCTGATTTTGAATCTTTACAGCTTCGTTTGGATTGTCAGCGGGTGTAATACAATCGTCGATATATCGTAATAGATGGAAATAGCTTGATCGGAATAGATTGCTTGATTTTCTATTCTGTCCATGTAAGTATAGCGAGAATTGGTGCCAATCGATTTCCCATTGCCAGACCTCGACGTTGTTGATAGAACGATCTTTTCCAAGAGAAGCAGTTCTTTTCGAAGATAGCTTTTGTCAGTAGAATGATGTCTGATATAGAGAATTGATATAGTTGGATGTTTTTCTTTTCTTTTTCAAGATATAGGCGCAAGGTATCAATGGCTGCGTCGTTGTTTACACTGGGGTATAATGAAACCACGTCTAAACTAAATAGGATCTTGTTCTTCAACTCACCACTCTTTAAGTTACGCAGTTTGTTCAACAGATGTTCAGTGCTTCGAAGATGTGCTTTTACAAATTGTAGGAGGGGATTGCATATCACTTGTATCAGCCAGGAGATTTTATCCGCAGGACCAGCACAGCCAGAAATTATAGGTCTTTTGATGTTATCAGGGTTGGAACTTGGCTCGTTGTTATGAAATTTATGCGTTTTGGTTAGCAAATAGATAACGGGGCACACACTGTGTGTCGTTTTTAATCTTGTGATGGATCTTTCGTTAACAAAATTGCTTCTTGCGACATACTCCCACACTTCATTGATCTCTTCCTCAGCTTTCTTCGTTAAATCATTACACGGTTTGTAAAGTGATTGATTTTCAAGGTGTTTTTTCATCAAGGTGTTATCCAGGTTGCTATCCATAACCACAAACTCGCCTCCTTTATCACTTACTGAAATTCTGACTTTTCGGGCTTTCTTAAGTGTGGTCAAATCAACCAGTGTTTTTCTTTGGTGTCGAGTGAGATTGGAGGGAATGGGTCTTGACTTGTGTTTGCTTATCACTTTCTTTACTTCATGTTTAAGGTGCTGGAGAGAGGATTCTAAATGTTGAAATTTTGTCTCCGGTGCTGTGCAAAACTTATCGAACGGACATTGTTCAATAGTTGGTTCTATAGTTTGATATGGGGCACTTTGGGTAGGTTCTTGGGTATGTTGTTGATTATCATTTACGGATTGTTTGCTGTGTATTTCTTTCCAACGCAGTCGGTATGCAAGTTTTGCCAATTGCACATTAACGTCCAACTCTGTTCGTTTGTTAATGGTTTTCATCGAAGGAACAAATTGCGGTCCCAAATCGAGTAAATCTGCTGTACCATCAGGCAGAAGAGTTGTTGAAGTTAATATTGTGACTCTTGGTGGAGACTCATCGTCTTAATCAGTAGAGGATTGTGAGCGGGGGTTAGAAACATTTGATCTGCTTGTGTTATTGTTCGACAAAGATTCAAACTTACGAATGAGTTTAAATTTCTTATTTTTCTTTAGTTTCTCAAGGCATTCAGTTAAATGATGGTCAATCTTTCTTCTATCTTCGGATAGTAGTTCTGTCATTTCGGTTTTCTTTTGCGCGATTTCATTTCTTATGAACTTCAGTTCTTTATGGTGTTTGCGAATGGTATCGTTAAGGATTGAAAATGTTAAGTTGTTGGTGTGTCGCGCTACCGTTTTGTTCTTTAGTAGATTCGAAGATAGGTTGATTTTATTGCTTATAAAATTTGGAATGATCTTGGTTTTCTTGCAGCGATTTAGAAAATGTAAGTCTTGGATCTTCATGACATAGTTCATATTCAAAGCGGCGTAATCTCTTGTTGTTCGAAATAAAGGTTGGTCCAACCTGAGATTCTTTAGAAGGTTTAAAAACGAACTTTCTCTGAGCCTCATTTTTACAATTGATTTCTGCGTTATTTAATATAGACCAGAATAAGGCTTTAAATTTTATTTACAAACGACGTTTCGGAGTTTACTCCATCATCAGGTTAAGATAATCAGATTATGTACAATTTTGAATAAATCGCGTATAAAAACCGTTAAAGCTTGCGTCCGTTACATTTTCGTGCGCATGCGATTTTTGTAAGCATAAAATGACGTGTCCGAGAAATTCTAATAAAATTAGAAATTAATTATAGTATTATTTATACTGCATGCTGTCTAAACTACAAAATCTATAATGTTTAATTGTTCGTATTTCCCATTCAAGTCCGGTTTCAACTTTTGAATGAATAAAGCTTCGGTAATCTTGCGTTCTACCGATCCTTTCGTTTTTTTTAAAATCTTGATCGAAAGCTTAGGTTTTTGTCCACGATGTAGTTCACTATAATGCTTTGCGAAAGCCATGCAAGAAAACCAAGATCATTCCAAATTTTATAAGCAATAAAATCAACCTATCTTCGAATCTACTAAAGAACAAAACGGTAGCGCGACACACCAACAACTTAACATTTTCAATCCTTAACGATACCATTCGCAAACACCATAAAGAACTGAAGTTCATAAGAAATGAAATCGCGCAAAAGAAAACCGAAATGACAGAACTACTATCCGAAGATAGAAGAAAGATTGACCATCATTTAACTGAATGCCTTGAGAAACTAAAGAAAAATAAGAAATTTAAACTCATTCGTAAGTTTGAATCTTTGTCGAACAATAACACAAGCAGATCAAATGTTTCTAACCCCCGCTCACAATCCTCTACTGATCAAGACGATGAGTCTCCACCAAGAGTCACAATATTAACTTCAACAACTCTTCTGCCTGATGGTACAGCAGATTTACTCGATTTGGGACCGCAATTTGTTCCTTCGATGAAAACCATTAACAAACGAACAGAGTTGGACGTTAATGTGCAATTGGCAAAACTTGCATACCGACTGCGTTGGAAAGAAATACACAGCAAACAATCCGTAAATGATAATCAACAACATACCCAAGAACCTACCCAAAGTGCCCCATATCAAACTATAGAACCAACTATTGAACAATGTCCGTTCGATAAGTTTTGCACAGCACCGGAGACAAAATTTCAACATTTAGAATCCTCTCTCCAGCACCTTAAACATGAAGTAAAGAAAGTGATAAGCAAACACAAGTCAAGACCCATTCCCTCCAATCTCACTCGACACCAAAGAAAAACACTGATTGATTTGACCACACTTAAGAAAGCCCGAAAAGTCAGAATTTCAGTAAGTGATAAAGGAGGCGAGTTTGTGGTTATGGATAGCAACCTGGATAACACCTTGATGAAAAAACACCTTGAAAATCAATCACTTTACAAACCGTGTAATGATTTAACGAAGAAAGCTGAGGAAGAGATCAATGAAGTGTGGGAGTATGTCGCAAAGAAGCATTTTGTTAACGAAAGATCCATCACAAGATTAAAAACGACACACAGTGTGTGCCCCGTTATCTATTTGCTAACCAAAACGCATAAATTTCATAACAACGAGCCAAGTTCCAACCCTGATAACATCAAAGTGAGACCTATAATTTCTGGCTGTGCTGGTCCTGCGGATAAAATCTCCTGGCTGATACAAGTGATATGCAATCCCCTCCTACAATTTGTAAAAGCACATCTTCGAAGCACTGAACATCTGTTGAACAAACTGCGTAACTTAAAGAGTGGTGAGTTGAAGAACAAGATCCTATTTAATTTAGACGTGGTTTCATTATACCACAGTGTAAACAACGACGCAGCCATTGATACCTTGCGCCTATATCTTGAAAAAGAAAAGAAAAACATCCAACTATATCAATTCTCTATATCAGACATCATTCTACTGACAAAAGCTATCTTCGAAAAGAACTGCTTCTCTTGGAAAAGATCGTTCTATCAACAACGTCGAGGTCTGGCAATGGGAAATCGATTGGCACCAATTCTCGCTATACTTTACATGGACAGAATAGAAAATCAAGCAATCTATTCCGATCAAGCTATTTCCATCTATTACCGATATATCGACGATTGTATTACACCCGCTGACAATCCAAACGAAGCCGTAAAGATTCAAAATCAGCTGAATGGGCAAGATCCATCAATTCAATTTGAAATCGAGTTACCTGACGAAGACGGATTCCTTCCTTTCCTCAATACAAAAAAAATCAAAGTGAATACATCTGGAACAATCGAGACGGGGTGGCATACAAAATCAGCAAACAAAGGATTGATGTTGAACGCAAAATCTCATCATCCAGAACACATCAAGCGAGCTGCCATTGGTAACACGATCAAAACCTACACTTCGATATGTTCAAACGATACATTATTACAAGAAGCTGAACGGAAATTTGAAAGAAGAGCGAGACGAAACGGTTATGACAGCAAGTATGTCAACAAAGTGAAAGCGACAAAAAGCAAGAAACGAGCATCAAAAACCGAAGCGCCAAGTACATTTACAATACCATTTATCTCAAGCCAATTCACCAACGACATCAGAAGAGCAGTCCAGCGTTCAGACCTCAATGTCCGAATAGTTGAACGATCTCAAAGCTCATTGAAGAACCTTCTGGCAGAGTCGCGACCTTACGACAACACATGCACAAATCCCTCGAAATGCCAGTGTGCAGTAGGTCATTGCTTCCCATTCGATGCTCGCAGAAAGACGTTGTCTACCAAATAAACTGTGACCTGTGCGGAGCAACATATGTAGGAGAAACAAGTAGACCATTAGCCGTCAGATTCCAAGAACATTATCGATCTGCGGCAAATCCTACGGCGAAATCCTACAAGAACATGGCTTTCGCAAAGCATTATAGTGAACTACATCGTGGACAAAAACCTAAGCTTTCGATCAAGATTTTAAAAAAAACGAAAGGATCGGTAGAACGCAAGATTACCGAAGCTTTATTCATTCAAAAGTTGAAACCGGACTTGAATGGGAAATACGAACAATTAAACATTATAGATTTTGTAGTTTAGACAGCATGCAGTATAAATAATACTATAATTAATTTCTAATTTTATTAGAATTTCTCGGACACGTCATTTTATGCTTACAAAAATCGCATGCGCACGAAAATGTAACGGACGCAAGCTTTAACGGTTTTTATACGCGATTTATTCAAAATTGTACATAATCTGATTATCTTAACCTGATGATGGAGTAAACTCCGAAACGTCGTTTGTAAATAAAATTTAAAGCCTTATTCTGGTCTATATTAAATAACGCAGAAATCAATTGTAAAAATGAGGCTCAGAGAAAGTTCGTTTTTAAACCTTCTAATGAATAATATGCTAATTATGGTCAAAATCATCATAATGATCATCATAGTTGCCATAGCAGCCATAATTTATTACGATTAATATGCTAATTATGTTCAAAATCATCATAATGAGCATTATGGTTGCCATGGCAACCATAATTTATTATCATTAATATGCTAATTATGATTAAGGTTGCAATGCTGTTTCATGATAATAATATTTAGCATATTATTATCATGAATAATATGCTAAATATGATAAAGATCATCATAATGAAAATTATTGTTGCCATGGCAACAATCATTTATCATGAATAATATGCTAAATATGGTGAAGATCATCATAATGAAAATTATGGTTGCCATGGTTACCATCATTTATCATGAATAATATGCTAAATATGATCAACATAATCATAATGATCATCATAGTTGCAATTGCAACTATAATTTATTACGATGGATATGTTAATTTTGGTCATTATCATCAAAATGATGATAATGGTTGCCATGTCAACTATCATTTATCATGAATAATATGCTAAATATGATAAAAAACAACATAATGGAAATTATGGTTGCCATGGCAACTATCATTTATCATGAATAATATACTAAATTTGGTCAAGATCATCATAATAAAAATTATGGTTGCCCTGGCAACAATCATTTATCATGAATAATAAGCCAAATATGATAAAGATCAGCATAATGAAAATTATGGTTGCCATGGCAACCATAATTTATTACGATTAATATGCTAATTATGATCAAGATCAACATAATGATCATCATAGTTGCCATTGCAAACATCATTTATTATTATTAATATGCTAATTATGATCAAAATAATCATAATGATCATCTTAGTTGCCATGGCAACCATAATTTATTATGATTAATATGCTAATTATGATTAAGATCAACATAATGATCATCATAGTTGCAATTGCAAACATCATTTATTATGATTAATATGCTAATTATGATCAAAATCATCATAATGATCATCATTCGTTGCCATTGTATCAATAATTTTTTATGAATTATATACTAATTATCATCAAGATCAACATAATGATCATCATTGTTGCCATTGCAAACATCATTTATCATGATTAAAATTCTAATTATGGTCAAAATCATTATAATGATCATCATGGTTGCCATAACAAACATCTTTTATTAAGATTATTATAATAATTATGATCAAGATCATCATGATGATCATCATAGTTGCCATGGCAACTATCATTTATTATGAATAATATGCAACATATGATCAAGATCATCATAATGATCATCATGGTTGCAATTGCAACAATAATTTATTATGATTGATGTGTTAATTTTGATCATTGTTATCAAAATGATGATAATAGTTGCCATGGCAACCGTCATTTATCATGAATAATATGCTAAATATGATAAAGGTAATCTTAATGAAAATTATTTTTGCCATGGCAACCATCATTTATCATGAATAATATGCTAAATATGATCAAGATCATCATGATAATAATTATGGTTGCCATGGCAACCATCATTTATCATGAATAATATGATAAATATGATCAAGATCATCCTAATGAAAATTATGGTTGCTATGGTAACCATCATTTATCATGAATAATATGCTAAATATGATCAAGATCATCGTAATGATCATCATGGTTGCAATTGCA